TCTCTCTCTCTCTCTCTCTCTCTCTTTTATTTATTTTATTTTTTTCCCCCATGCTTCTTCTCAATATCCAAACATATCGAGATCCAAATCGCGGATATCGAAGGGAAAAAACAGGGGAAAACAGGGAAAAAAAATCGCTTTTTTCCCCCGTGTTTTTAATATTTTAAATTTGTCATTTTCAGTCTATTAAAAGAACATGAGGTTTGCGATAGGCTAAGAAATGAGGTTAAAGGATAATAAAGTTAATTTCTGTTATTTATCAGCGCTCTTAGGATACTTTTCTAGGAACGTTTAAAGAGAAAAATTTTTAAAAAAGAATACAAGTTTTAAGAAAATTTAACTCCGAAACATAGGAGGGATGTGAAGGAATTATCTTACCTCCTCTGCTGTCAGACATTTGCAAACCCGACGTATACTGACTGCTTCCTGATATATTTTGCTCTGTTTTCGAAGTTTTAACTACAGATAATTTAGCAGTACAATTGATACGTAATTGGTCCTCCACAAAATGGTGCTGAAAAATTTGGAACCGTAGACCTAACAACGACTTGTTCGATTCCTCCACTTTGTATATTATAACGTGTTCTGGGGATGCCTAAATTTTAACAAAAACTTTCGATTTACATTATAATTATAAATGAATCATCATTAATTTGGTCAAGACTCACCACTTTATTGTTTATGATCCATTGCAACTGCGGTTTGGGATGCATTATTGAAGTGCAATTTAATTCGATCACGTCACCGATATGGTATCTCCCTTTCACGCCATTAATTGTAGGGCCTTTCCTGCCGTATCCGGGTGCTTTAAATAATAAATAATTATCTAAAATTATTTACAAAGTAATAATAATCTTTCTCGTAAAATTGCCTAACACGACAGAAGATGGCGACTCTAGTTTTGGCAAAGTGCCGCTTTAGTTCTCCTCCCCCCTTTCTTAAAGTTCACGTGGTCGCGGTTAAAGTTAATATAAAATTTATTAGAATGACGTGATTCGTAGAATGTTTATTAAAATGACCCAATTTTATACGAATTAAAAGATGTGTAACGACCTAAATTTTTGCAAGTAAACAGTGAGAGAGAGCGGTTAATTATTCTATAATTTAAAACGTTCTAGGAAGTGTTTGCAGGAGGGGGAAATTAAGAAAAGTGATTTTTTTTAGTATCATCAGGGCCGCCCAGAAGGTAACGAGGTCCTGGGGTCCTATAGAAAATTAAATTTTTATATTAAGTTAAAAGAAATGAACGAAAAACACGTACTATTTCCTTGGGGCCCAGGGCTTTTTTTTTCTCTTTATGATCCCTCTCTGGGCGCTCCTGATATGTATTGTATATATTATATTATATTATATAAAATTACCTGGTTTATATTTAAGATTGCTTGATTTATTGCTTAGAATCACTTCTTCGCTGCCGATATAATAAAGCTGAGAAAAAATTGATATGCATCCAAGCCTCATATTCCCGTCCCAATAGTGAATTGTTTCAATAACGAATTTCAGTCCAACTCGACTACTCAATAATCCTGTTTTGTAGCGTTTGGAGGAGTAAGTTTTTAGTAACTCGAAAGGTGCCTTGAGGAAGAGGGAGGAAAAGAGGAGAGGGGAGAAAAAATACATATACAAAGATATAGAATAAACAAGATTTAAATGTAAGGCGACGAAAATAAAATTTTCTATGTTTTTTTTTTTTTTTATCTTACCTCTCTTCCATTGATGTACCATTGGATTTTGGAGGGTGGTTTAGAAGGTCCTGCGAGGCACGTGACGTTTATTTCCTCACCTATCCCATAATGGGATCGAATTCCGATAATTTTCGGTTTATCGGTTGGAAGAACTGATATATAAAAATATAAGAAAAATAATGTAAATATGTTTTGTACGAGTCGAGTTATATCTAAATAAATACGTTATTATTATTATTACGAAATGTTAAAAAATAAATAGAAAAATCGCTGACAGGAACGTAACCTTTATTCTACCAGTCGACCCCCCTAAAACACTGTTGATTTTTCCGTTTTATATGAATTCCATGTTGTACGAGTCACTTAGATTTTACAAATACGTGTGCTGGGCTGTGAACGGCTCACGTATTTGTAAAATCTAAGTGACTCGTACAACACGGAATTCATATAAAACGAAAAAATCAACAGTGTTATAGGGGGGTCGACTTGTATATGCATTTCTGTTACAAAAAAAAAGCTCTCATAAACGTGACCGTTGTTGGAAGGTGGCCGTTATTAGAGATTCGACTGTATTTTACTTATATTTTGAAAGATTTAAATCTTTCAAAAAAACCTTCAAGAATAATTTTAAAAAAGAAAAGAAAATAAAATAATAATAATAATAATAAACTAAATAAAAGGAAAAGAATTCTTATAAACAAAGAAAACAGATTGGAAGAAAAATAAAGTAAGATATAACACGTTCTGTTCATTTAACGTTTATTTTTTTAAGAGCAATTGAAAAATTCAAACAAGAAAATTCAAATTTGTTCCATTTTATTCTAAATCTCATTCATAATTAATCTGTCTTTCTCTCTCTCTCTCTCTCTCTCTCTTTTATTTATTTTATTTTTTTCCCCCATGCTTCTTCTCAATATCCAAACATATCGAGATCCAAATCGCGGATATCGAAGGGAAAAAACAGGGGAAAACAGGGAAAAAAAATCGCTTTTTTCCCCCGTGTTTTTAATATTTTAAATTTGTCATTTTCAGTCTATTAAAAGAACATGAGGTTTGCGATAGGCTAAGAAATGAGGTTAAAGGATAATAAAGTTAATTTCTGTTATTTATCAGCGCTCTTAGGATACTTTTCTAGGAACGTTTAAAGAGAAGGAAATATATATATATATATATATATTTAAATAAATAATTCAATTGTGTTTAAAAATATACAGAGAAATCTCTCATATATAGGACTAAAAGACTGTCCGTTATAAGCAGGTTTAACTGTATACATCATTAAAAATAAATTTTAACAGAGCGGTATTTATATAAATGATTTTAAAAATAGGAAAATTAATAATTAAAGTTTTAAAAAGTAGAATTAAATTTTGTATACAAGCGCAGAACATGCTATTTAATATAAAATAGCCAGCAGCTAAAGTGAATTTATTTATTTTATTTTCGATTTTTCCCATTCAGCCAATTGTAAAATTTTATCAATTTTACTCATTAAATCTTCGATTAAATCGCTAATTATTTTTACTTAAATTGCCAATTTTTAAGAGGAAAAAAAATTAAAATAAAAATTGTTTAGATCCAAAGATTTGGAGAAGGAGGAGGAGGAGGAGGAGGAGGAGGAAGAAGAAGAAGAAGAGAAGCTTTATAGTGTTTAGTAGCGAGGATGGAATGTTTTTGAATGACGTACAAACGGCTAATTAACGTACAAGGTTAGATTAATTCCAAAATTAACCTTGGCCCGTTAAATTAGCTTGTTTCCTTTGCTAAATTATAGTACAGATTCTTAGTTATACATGCTGATGTGTGTTTAAGTGCGAAGTTGCGTAACATCCTCCATAAACGAGGGGGTAGGAAATTCGTTGGGTAGAATATATAAAAGTGAATCTATTATAGATGTTACAGTAAATAAAGCTGATTTATCTAACAACTTTGTATAATTTATCCTCGTAAAGTAACAGTAAACTATCATTACTCTTCGGAGAGATCTCAGCTAGGATTTCTCTTCAGGAATCAATCATAAATTATCATAAAATAGCCGAGTAAATGATATTCCTTTCTGACTAAATGTGAAAGGGAATTTTCTCCTATTTTTATAACTAAATTATATTTTATAAACAATATAATTTATTTATAAAATCTATTTTGTTTTTAATTATAATTCATCTAGAAATGTTATATTACTTTACTGAATTAATCTAGGATTTTTATTATTAATTAATTATTACTTTAAAAGAATTAAATTTTTCTTAATATAAATTTAAAAAAAAAATTTAATAATTTTTTAATAATATTTTTATCCCTTGAATTAAAGAGACGAGCATATTTTAAAAATTCGAATTTTAAGCTAATTTAACGATTTAATAATTGGAAATAAATGAAATTCTAAAGATAATTTGATAATTTTACGCAATTTTTAACGTGTTTAAAATATAAAAATGCAGTTTAATTTACCATAAATAGCACAATTTAAAAGTAATTACGAAGATGTAATAGTCTGCGATGCGTTTTGTCGCAGCTCGCTTAGCATTTATCGATCGCGATAAATCGACAATTACATAATAGATTATTATTTATTAATGATGAGCTCAAAGATTAAATATAATAATCATATTAGTGGCAGGCAGAATAGGCACATTACGATATAAAAGGAAAATTTCCCTTGTTGAGTGAGGAGGAAGCTTACTGATGCGTTGAGAGCATGCCTCTATACATTACTATATCTTTTTTTATTATTATTATTTTACGATCTAATAATGGTACCGATTACATCAAACGTCGATGAAATTATATAAAATATATTAATTATTAATAAATTCATACAAAATTATACTAAAATTTACTTATATTTTGCTTTAATGTTGGTGCGCGTTATATACGATTTGCTCGAAAGATAGGCTGTTTAATCGTTATAACAACCTTCTACAACGTTTAGGATAATGAAAAATTACAAAAACACATCCATTTTAAACCGATAAATAATTATTTTCGTATATATTAGTGTATATAACACATGATAATATACTTAAATTACATGGCAGTTACTCCAGTTGTTTACAGCACGATAAGAAACTCTCTCTCAAACATTCTTAACATAACGGATATTAAGAAGAATTCTTTCTCTTTCATAACTGTTTAATTGAGTAACAATTCTCAATTCAACTCATAACATGGCATCCCTCATACAACTAAACATCCGATCGCTTATAACACGTTCTGTTCATTTAACGTTTATTTTTTTAAGAGCAATTGAAAAATTCAAACAAGAAAATTCAAATTTGTTCCATTTTATTCTAAATCTCATTCATAATTAATCTGTCTTTCTCTCTCTCTCTCTCTCTCTCTCTCTCTCTTTTATTTATTTTTTTANTTATTTATTTATTGTTAAATGATTTATTAAATAAATTACATATTTTGTATAAACTTTTGTTAAAAGAAAAGTTTCTGAAAAAAAAAATAACTACTCTTTAAAATTGGACGTTGTTGGAAGGTGGATTTGTCCGCTGTTTAAAGGTTATTAAATAAACAATAAATAAATTGAAGGAATTTATTTTTAAAAATTGCAGTATTTTGTATGTAAAAATTGCAGTAAACGTATAAAGATCTTGAAAAAAATGGCTGCTGTTTAAATCTAACCGTGGTTGGGAGGTGACCGTCGTTTGGAGGTTATTTAAAAAAAAAAAACAATAAATTAATTTAAGTGATTTAGTTTTTTTTAAAAAAAATGCGGAATAATTGACAAAATTTAAATAATTTTCCGAAATTTCCGATAGAAAAATAGAAAAAAAATGGGGTGTAATTCGATTAAAATATTGATTACAAAGTAATTTAATTTCGTATAATTACATGTATTAATCTAATTTTATCATTTTTATCTAATCCTAATCGAATTTAATCTTAACTTTTATGTAATTATACTTGGATTATACCGTTTATTCGATTCTTACTTAATCTGATCACGTATAAAGTTTCCGAATGATGGACGACTTCTAACCCGTTTCTTGATTTATGAAAATAAGGAAAGTTTGAATAAACTTTGCAAATAAAAACAAGAAGAAACATAAATATAAAAATATAGAAATGCAGAAATTTTATAATAATAATTATAAACGATAACAATAAATATTATTATTGTTTTGGTGGTGTTTCAGTGTCTGATGCTATGGGGACAAGACACAACTACAAAACAATTATTATTATTGGAGATATTAGACTACTTAAGGGTGTAGAATGAAGAAAGGAGAAGGAAGAGAGAAGATGCCAGTAGACTTTTAGGCAGGGGTAGAGCATACTCGAAGATCTAGACTGAAGGAAGAAAGAGAGGTAAAAGGATGAGGAGAAAAGGGAGAATGACTCAGTAGGGTATTGTTGTGCAGCGGGTAGAAAGAAAGAGAATAAGAAGATCAGAAAGAGGAGAGGATGTCTGAGTAGGGTATTGAGCAGGGCATAGAGCCTACTCAAAAGTTAGACTGAAGAAGGAAAGAAATAGGTTGAGATAGAAGAGAGAAGGTCTCAATAGAGTATTGAGCAGTAGGTAGCGTTTACTCAAGATAGGATAAAGAAAGAAAGAGGATTAGGAAGAAATAAGAAATAGAAGATACGAGGGGTATAGAACAGGAGGTAGACTATACTCAAGGGGAAAAGCTAAAGAAAGGAAGCGAATGAGGTGATGAGAAAGAATAAGAAAGGGAAGAGAAGACACTGAGCAGACAGAGCGCGTCAGAAAGTATAAAAATGAACACAAAATTGTCGCGGAATGCTTATAATAATAATAATAAATACATAAAATATTTTGTAAATTTTAAAAACTTAGTTTTAAGAAATTAAATATTTGTAGACAGACGTAATTACTTTTTTAAAATTAATTTATAAATAATATTAAATTATAATAAAACCTGTGTAAACCGGAATTGTACTGTTCCGAAGATAGCAAAGCCTGTATAAACTGGAATCGCTCGTTATCGAATATTGGCAGATTTCCGTTTTATACAGGGTTTATTTTAACATATAAAATAGATTCATTCTGAAGGATTTTTCCGTTTTGTACAGGTTTTTTTTTTTTTAGCATATTAAATCGATCCATGCTGGAGAATTTTTCTGTTTGGCTCGTTTCCGTTTTATTCAGGTTCCGTTTTAGACAAGTTTTATCGTAAAAA